GGGGTGGACCGGCACGGTTTTTTTCCATGGGTGAGGGGCTGCTTCTAATCCTACTACTTTGCTTTTGTTAGCTGTCAAACTTTGCTGCGAGCAGTTTTGAAATATCCTGTCTTGAATGGATTTCTGCCTGCAGTATTTGCTTTGCTTATGAATAGAGCCATCTAGATAGTTGGCTTCTTCTTTCAATAAGCTCTGCTGTGGGCTATTAAGAAAGACTTGGGGGCTGCTTCCTGCCTCTAAAAAACATGTTTCTCCATTTCTCCCTTTGGGGAAATATAATATCCGGCCTTTTTAAATATTCCTCAAAATATTTGATTGTTTTGTTGGGGGGGGGGTGGTTCCCACAATATGAATACTTTTTCCTCTCTTAATTATTTAAAATGAAAAAGATTGCTCATTTTCTACAGACTAGGTGGTTGTGTTAAGGTATGGGTGGTGGTGGAAATCTCATTCTTAGCTATCCTTTTCTTAGCAGCTTTGTATTATGCAGCTATGTTCAAGTTTTGAAAGAAAGAAATGTTTTTGTGGAGTTGGCCCCACAACATATAAATATTACTAACAAATAAAACTGCCAGAGGTTCCAGAACAGCAGTCTTGCTGGAAAATGTTATCGTGTGTGACTATTAAATCAAAATGCTTAGTGAAATATATATTTAAAAAGCTTGCCTTATGCCTAAATCTTTTTTTATGAAAAACTGATCTATGAGATGCCTCCTTTTTCACATTTCTGGTTAAAATATAGGAAATGGCTTAAAAGGAAAGAGTTTCTTCTATATATTTTGCTCCTGCTTATTTCACATCCTTGGTAACACCCAAATTAAATTTATAAATGATTTGATTTCGAACACACCCTCTTCTCCACAGCAGATGCAATGAATAGCCTGCAGTCATCCAGCCTGTGCTTCTTCTTAATTACTTAAAGCATTAAATAATAAAATAAGGTTCCTCTGTCCTTTTTTTGTCATATTCACTAAAAAGAAGACAAAATACAGGAGATTTAATGAACTAATAACAAAATTTCCTCCTCTCTCTTCAGCATCACATTTTCATTCCTTCTCTTGATTGTCGAATGTCTTCCTCTGTATTGCCACACATCAGGCGCCGCAGCTCAAATTCATGCTTCAGAGAAAATTCTGGGCTATTATAAAGGGGTTATTGTCCTTCTTTCCTCTGCAAGGGTTTTGTTTTATTTCCCTCATGGAGAAATGGGATGTCGAACTGTGGAACTGTTTAAGCTGTAACATTTAATTTTCAACTTTTTGCCCTTTACGGCCTATTAACTTAGAAGTTGTTTCTTTCCTCTCCATATTTTCAGATGGGAATTGATCTCATTGCATTTGAGCGGCTAATCAATGCTAGAGTCCTCCAAAGCATTTCTGAAAGCTTTTCCACACATCCTCTCCCTTCCCTTTCCCTTCCCTCCTCTTGTCTCTCACTTTATCTTCCTGACCCTCCCCTCACTTTCCCACCCCTCTCCTCCCTTCCCCTCCCCTCTTCCTCCTCCCCTCCATTCTCCTTTCCCTTTCCCTTCCTCTCTCCTGCCCTCTCCTCCCCTCCCCTCTTCCCCGTCCTCTCCCCTTTCCCCTCCCCTTCCCTCTTTACTTACAGCGGGTTCTTCCTTGTTCTAATCTATATTTATTAACCCCCCCCTTTTCCATCAACAGTTTTATAATTTTTTCTTCTAGATAATGGCAATCTCTGAAATAGATGGGAAAAAGACTAAGCTCTATATAGATATTGAAGATTTTTTTCCTCACATGCTGTTGAGGTAATTCCCCGTTAGGAGAATGAGCGCATACAGGGAGACGTATTTGAGAGAAGTGTTTGAATAATACACACAGAGCACACAGATACACTGTACAGTAAATGTAGGTTTTTACTTCCAGAAAGGTTTAAGCAAAGTCCAAAACAAGCAGTCCAAAAGTCATTCACAGGTAAAATCAGTCAGTTTTCATCCAGGGATAATCCAAATATCAAATTCCAGTGTCAAAAACAGTTCAGTATCAGACTTACATTAAATCCAGGAATATCAGTCAATTAGAAGAAATGGAGGAACGGCAATACTTTCCAACAGAAGGAAACAGAGATACACTCAGACACACTCTCTTCTGAGACTAAGACTAAACAACCCAGGTTTCTGGCTCCATCTTATGGCCGTTTGAGAAACCACACCCAATTGCACGCCCTTGCATTCCCTTAAAGATATAGTACTAAAATGTTTATCCTGGTTTATATATTTCTAACCCAAATAGCTGTTAGGTGACTCATATTCCTAACACATGCAACACAAATTTTAGAGATTTCTCTTAAGAATTCGGCATTAATAAATGTGACTTTATAGGGAACACGATGAGCAAGCGTTGTATTGGGTAAAGGTAATGCTCTGACCTATTTACTTTTACATACTTTTTACATACACACTTTTCTCATACTTGTGGCTTATTCAGGCAATAATATGACATGTATCCTTGCGTCTTTATCTCACACACACACTGATGCCTTATTTTCTCCATTAGCAGGATGTGCACTCATATTTTTCCTTGCTAGGCAGCTGTTAACAATGTGATGCTATCTGACATCCAGGCATTCAGTTTGGTGTAATCATTAAGGCATTAGATAGAAACCAGGAGACCAGGAGTTCTAGACCTGCCTTGACATGAAGCCAGCTGGGTGACCTTAAGCCAGTCACTTTTCTCCCAGCCTAGAAAGGGGGCAATGACAACCCGCTTCTGAAAAACATTGCCAAGAAAACTGCAGGGACTTCTTCACCCCAGGCAGTCTCTGAGAACTGGGCATAATTGAATAGAAGAAAATAAAAAAAAATCTGAAATCCATAAGAACATATACTCTTGCAGAATGAGGTTGCCCTTCTCTATAGTATAGGCTGAATGAAAGAAGTATATATAAAGTGTCTAGAATAATACATGCAAGTATCATTTATGCATGTCTCAGATAAAGAATGACCTTCTGAAAATCACACAAATAGAAAATTCTATCAGAGCAAGCCGCCTGGAAGCACAGATTGTGGCATTTATCTAGAATGTACAATTGAAAACTGCATTTTTCATTGATAAAATGCAGCTTCAACACGATGAAGTTAAGATTTTTTTAAAAAGAGTAATGCAGTTTAATATCTGTTTCGAGTGAGAAAAGAAAGGATAACACAAAACGATTGAAGCATGCTGGTGGTTAAAACAGTATGGAGTGACATTTTACTTAATGAAAATGGTGAAGCAAAGTTATCTTGTAAGATATTCCTTACTGAAGTTTTGCCATCAAAGATATTTTATTCAGCCTTAAGTGCCTTTCTACAAATGATCTATCCTTGCTATAAGACCAGAAATTAACAATTGAGAGTTAGTGACTGTAGGAGATATTTTTCCATCCATAAATCAATCTAACACTCTTTGTCATATGCACTGGGTATTTTAATTACTACCACTTGCCCCCATCACAGAAATGAATCAATGTAACAAGGAAATCACTAATGGTGTGTAGCCTCTACAGGATAAGAAACAATAATTACAGATTGGACCTATGTGTGTAGCAGAATGTACAACCAAGGAGTTATTTATATATTATAAATGTATTGGGATGAAGCTATTTTTTTTGTCAGTGAAAGACCAAATAATAACTTTTTTCCTAAACAATCAGCACAGTCAGAAGAAACAATATTGTCTAGTTCATCATTTTAATGGTTCTCGTGATCCTTCGGTCTATAGATACTTTACAATGCTGGTCAGCATTCATTTGCAATCTGAAATATTATACAGTCAGTTTCTATGATCCCAAAGCTGAGCTAGCTTTTTCAGGTGTTGGACAGCTTTTATTTTAGTCATTGTTAAATTTACCTGAGGCACAAATAACTAGGCTAAAATTATCACATTTTAGATACATTGCATAGAGACATTTGAGATATATTTTAGAAATATTACAAAGAGGCAGACTGATGGAAACATGCCACTTAAACTGGAAGGTAAGACCAATGGCAGGGAAGGAAAATCTGCCCCAGGGTGGCTTGCTGACGTTGGTGGGAAAGTCGGTCCCATATTCCAGAGCTGCAGTAGTCACAGGACTGGCCCTTTGGTCATCCTGGAACAGCTGCTCCTCCACCCGGGTACACTGGCCTGCCATGGACTGGAGGAGCTGCTGCGGGATGACCAAAGGGCCAGTCCTGTGACTACTGCAGCTCTGGAATATGGGACCGACTTCCCCACCAATGTCAGCAAGTCACCGTCAGTCGAAATTCAGATTAGTGGTCTGTGAGATTTAAAATTATGTGTTTGGTGGTCCCTGAGGTTGGTGACCCCTGTACTAGCCCACTCCAATGAAGCCCCCTTTGAACTGAACAAATCATTTTCATAGCCTCACCCTGGAAGAAAATAGACAGATATATATAAAAGAAAAAAATTCTAAAACAAGAGGTGCATTCCTGTGACAGGAAAAAAAAGTATCCCAGAATCTCTAGGGTAAAAAAAAAGACAAGTATTGATGATAGGAGATATGGGAAAAGAAACTGTAATCTGAAAATTGGACAGTTAATCTAGGGGAAGTATGTTGTCTCCCTGGAGCAAACATCAAAGCTATAACTGAAAATCTTACTAAAATAATTAACCCCATAGATTACTGCCCTTTTCTTCTCCTGTGGACGAATGACACAATAACGAACCTGAAAACAATAACAAGAGATTATGAACAGTAGGGAAGAAAATTAAGGAATTAGGAGCACCCATGGGTTTTTCATCTATACTTCTAACAAAAGGCCAACATCCAGTGAGGGAGCAAAGGATTTTAGGAATAAACCACACCAGGCTTAAAAATTGGTGTTGCCAAGAGAACTTTGGCTTCCTAGAGTCTAGACCAGTGGTCCCCAACCTTTTTTGTACCAGGGACCAGTTTCACGCAGAAACACTTTTTCAAGGACCGGGTAGGGGCGTGAAGGTTCCAATAACAAAAACCTTAATCATTATATTTAATATGTCACCGCATATGACACAGAGTGGGTGTGGGGCTTGTGAATCACCTGTTGCGATGAACCCGTAACTCAGGTAGGAATCTTGGTATTTTCTTTTAAATGCGAGGGCTAGCTTGCATTGCTGATGCAGGATAAATACGCGCCAAAGAGTCAAGCGCGGAAGTTAGGTGAGGGCGGAAGTGGTTGTCTTTCAAAATAAGACACCCGGAAGCAAAAACATATTTTTATATATATTCTTTGCGGCCTGGTACAAAATGATCCACGGACCGGTACTGGTCTGGGGCCCGGTGGTTGGGGACCTCTGGTCTAGACCATGGTTTGCATGGGCTTCTGTCAATGAATGGACTGTACCTCACAAGAAGTGGAAAGAATGTATTTGGAACACGACTGGCTCCTCAGAAGGGCTTTAAAAATAAAGTTGAAGAGGACCAATCTTCACAATCTTTAGAACCCAATTCCAAGCAAAACCCACTAAATGGTCAATCATATAAAGAGGTAAGAAATAAAGAGAAAGAAGAAAAACTCAGATGCAAAGTAGATTTAGGAAGTATGCCCAGGGTCAGCTACAAAGAACTTAAATGCCTATACACTAATGTACAAAGTTTAAGGAATAAACAGGGTGAACTTGAAATACTAGAAAACAAGGGCAAGTATGATATAGTTGCCATTACAGAAACCTGGTGGGATGAAACTCATGACAGGAACATACTGTCCTAGAAAAGGAAGAGGTAGAATTGCATTATATGTTAGAGATCGCTTTATCTCTACAGAGATGCACATAACAAAAGATGAAAGCCTTCTAGAATGCATAGGGGCCATCATAAAAGGAAAAAAGAATGATATTGCCATAGATGTATACTACATGCCACCCAACCAAGCGGAAGAAATGAACATTTTGCTAATCAGTTAACCAATGTGTGCAGGAAAAACGCCACAATAATGAGGGACTTTAACTATCTTGACATCAACTTGGAGATAAATAGCGTACTTAGAGTTTACTAAATCATTTGATAAAGTAGACTACAATCTACTTCTTGGCAAGCTAGAAAAATGTGGGATAGGCAGCATCACCACCAGATTTATTTATGTTTATTTATTTATTTATTTTTGTCAATAGCTTACAAGATAATAGGTATAAGTAAAAACATAGTTATGAATACATGGATACATATAAGAAAAATAAAAGAAACAATAGGACAGGGATGGTAGGCATCGTTGGTGCACTTATGCACGCCCCCTACAGACCTCTTAGAAAAGGGTTAAGGTCAATAGTAGACAGTCTAAGGTTAAAGTTTTTGGGGTTTGGGGAAGAAACCACAGAGTCAGGTAGAGAAGTGGAACTGTAACTGACTGACAAATCATACTCAACATGTAGTCCTCAATGGAAATACATCTATATGGCAGGAAGTAAACAGTGGGGTACCCCAAGGCTCTGTTTTGGGCCCAATACAGTTCAATATCTTCATATACGATCTAGATGAGGGACTAGAAGGGGAACTCATCAACTTTCTAGATGACACTAAACTAGCAAGAATAGCCAATACCCCAGAAGACAAATTCAAGATGCAAAAAACACTGAACCCTATCTAAGAAAATGAAATTCAGCATATGTGAAACGTAGATGAACATAAGCTTATAGACTTAGACAAGAAAAAAAAATCAACTGTATAGGTATAGGCTAGGTGAAACTTGGCTTAATGCCAGTAACTATAAGAGGGGCCTTGGAGTGGACAATCACTTAAATATGAGCCAACAGTGTGCGGCAGCAACCAAGCCAATGCAATCCTAGGCTGCATTAATAGAGGGATAGAATTAAGATCATATGATGTTCTAATATCACTTTACAAAGCCTTAATAAGATCACACTTGGAATCCTGCATCCAGTTCTGATTATCACAATTAAAAAAAAAAGATGTTGAGACTCTGAAAAAAAAAATGCAGAGAAGAGCTACAAGAATGATTAGGGGGTTGGAGGCTAAAACATATGAATATACCATTACAAGAATTGGGTATGTCTATCCTAATTAAAAGAACTACTAGGGGAGACATGATAGCAGTGTTCCAATATTTGAGGGGTTCCTACAAAGATGAGGGGGTCAAACTATTTTCCAAAGCACCAAAAGACAAGATGAGAAAACAATGGATGGAAACTAACCAAGGAGAGAAGCAACCTAGAACTAAGGAGAAATTTCTTAACAATGACGGAAATCAACCAATGGAATAACTTGCCAACCATTTGTCTAAAATACACTGCTCAAACAAATAAAGGGAACACAACAATAAGACATCCTAGATCTGAATGAATGAAATATTCTTATGAAATACTTTGTTCATTACATAGTTGAGTGTGCTGACAACAAAATCACACAAAAATCAAATTTAGCAATGGAGGTCTGGATTTGGAGTTACACTCAAAATTAAAGTGGAAAAAAACACTACAGGCTGATCCAACTTTGATGTAATGTCCTTCAAACAAGTCAAAATGAAGCTCAGTAGTGTGCATGGCCTCCATGTGCCTGTATGAGCTCCCTACAATGCCTGGGCATGCTCCTGATGAGGTGGTGGATGGTCTCCTGAGGGATCTCCTCTCACACCTGGACTAAAGCATCCCCCAACTCCTAGACAGTCTCTGGTGCAACGTGGCCTTGGTGGATGGAGCGAGACATGATGTCCCAGATGTGCTCAATTGGATTCAGGTCTGGGGAACGGGTGGGCCAGTCCATAGCATCAATGCCTTCGTCTTGCAGGAACTGCTGACACACTTCAGCCACATGAGGTCTAGCATTGTCTTGCATTAGGAGGAACCCAGGGCCAACCGCACCAGCATATGGTCTCACAAGGGGTCTGAGGATCTCATCTCGGTACCTAATGGCAGCCAGGCTACCTCTGGCGAGCACATGGAGGGCTGTGCGGCCCCCTAAAGAAATGCCACCCCACACCATTACTGATCCACTGCCAAACCGGTCATGCTGGAGGATGTTCCAGGCAGCAGAACGTTCTCCATGGCGTCTCCAGACCCTGTCACGTCTGTCACACGTGCTCAGTGTGAACCTGCTGTCATCTGTGAAGAGCACAGGGCACCAGTGGCGAATTTGCCAATCTTGGTGTTCTCTGGCAAATGCCAAACGTCCTGCACAGTGTTGGGCTGGAAGCACAACCCCCACCTGTGGATGTCAGGCCCTCATACCACCCTCATGGAATCTGTTTCTGACCGTTTGAGCAACCACATGCACATTTGTGGCCCACTGGAGGTCATTTTGCAGGGCTCTGGCAGTGCTCCTCCTGTCCCTCCTTGCACAAAGGCGGAGGTAGCGGTTCTGATGCTGGGTTGTTGCCCTCCTACGGCCTCCTCCACGTCTCCTGATGTACTGGCCTGTCTCCTGGTAGCGCCTCCATGCTCTGGACACTACGCTGACAGACACAGCAAACCTTCTTGCTACAGCTCGCATTGATGTGCCATCCTGGATGAGCTGCACTACCTGAACCACTTGTGTGGGTTGTAGACTCCGTCTCATGCTACCGCTAGAGTGAAAGCACCGCCAGCATTCAAAAGTGACCAAACCATCAGCCAGAAAGCATAGGAACTGAGAAGTGGTCTGTGGTCACCACCTGCAGAACCACTCCTTTATTGGGGATGTCTTGCTAACTGCCTTTGCTTTCCATCTGTTGTCTATTCCATTTGCACAACAGCATGTGAATTTGATTGTCAATCAGTGTTGCTCCCTAAGTGGACAGTTTGATTTCACAGAAGTGTGATTGACTTGGAGTTACATTGTGTTGTTTAAGTGTTCCCTTTATTTTTTTGAGCAGTGTAGTACAGGGTCTGCTGCTTGAGCAAGGGGTTTATCTAGAGAGTTCAAGGTCCCTTCCAACTCTATTATTCTATGTTCTAAAGCCCTAGGAAGGAGAACTACTACTTCTAAATTACTTCTGAAAACTTGCCAAGAAAACTGCAGGGACTTGTCCTTGCAGTGGTCAACACTCAGTCAAAGGTGATGTAGACATAATCTCTCAAATGTACTATGCCCTGCTGACTTTTCAGTTCCATTGGTACATGATGGTCAAGAAATGTGTGTAAATGTCTTGACCTTCATTGTACAATCATATCTCTGGAGGTGAGTAACTTCTATCGCTTTTATTTTCTTCCTAGTGTTTTTGCACAAGTCCACTTTTTTAAAATCAAACAATTGTTGATCCATTTGATTGTAACAAAAATGGACCAACTGGCTTGTCACCTAAGTCTGACATGATAAGCTGAGAGAGACTGGCCCAAAGTCACTGAGAGAGTTGAGGCAGACCAGAATTCAAAGTCTCTTTGTTTCTAACTTGGTGTCAAATTGGCTTCATGGCTTTGCTGCTTCAATTAAATTTCCAAGAAAAATATAATCAGTAATTATGGATTTTGTCATTAACTGTTGAACTGCTAAGAGGGAAACCTGTTTTTGAGAAATAGTTTCAGAATTTTTCCTTGCAAGGGGCAAATTTAGATTTCATCCAGTTCCTCTACTCTTAAATTTGCTCAAGAATTTAATATATCTATTTAAATCCAACTACAGTCTTGCAATGTGCAAATGGTTTAGAGTAAAATTAAGCATTAAATTGCATAATGGTTTTAATTGAGCTAAAGCTGTAAATCAGACTTAAGGCTGGACTTTTGTTGTTATCATTCTTACTGAACACCATCAAGAATCAATATAAAGTTGGGCAGCCTTACAAACATAATGAAACAAATAAATATTTTTTCTGCATTGGAAAAACAGTAAATATCTTCATCTGGAAATGAATTTAGAGAGCACAAAAACGTTCTGTCAGGGCATGCCTTGAATGTGTGTTTGTGCCTTTCTCTTGTTTCCATATTAAAAGAATGTTGTAATTGTGTGGCCATATAAACATTAGAAGGCAAAAAAAAAAAAATGAGAAAGATTTTTGTAGAGCATTTGCCTAACTTATCCAATTGCCTTACCGTTTACCTCATAGTTTTTCTGTGTCACTGTTCTTTACTCAAATGTGAAACAAGATAAAGATTTACATACATTTTCCACTGGAGGAGATGACATGTTGACAGGGTGAATGGCAAGAACGTCCAATAGTGCTTAATTGTTTCATAATACTAAAAAAGGCATTGTATCATGGATGACTCTACAAAGGCAGGAAGCCTGGGACACCTGTGCTGACAGGTGTACTTTAGAGGTCATTGCTACACTTCAGGTGTTTCAGTTGTGTTGGATTTAAAATGAAAAATAAGGTCTCTTGATATTAAGTGCTGTGAGGCTAATAAATTGTGACCTGTGTTATTACAGTGAAATATTTACAACCATTGGAAATCTCAATTAGATTACAGCTTTCTACATGATGGATTATAGGGGAAAAACTGTTCCTTTGAAGAACCTAAAGAAACCTAAAAAAATGTAGGTAAACTGACTAAGAGACCTGAAGAAACAGTCGCAGGAAAAATATTTGTCTGCTTTGTATTTGTGATTTTGGGAAAAGAGATTGGGGAACTTTCACTTAACAGTTCAATTTTCCAAAAAAGGACTTCCCATAGTATATGTAAATCATTTAATATTTATTATAGCAAAACTAGCAAACTATTCTTACGTTCAGATTTTTTTCTGAGTTGATATGCATGATGATTGAATTCCTAGGAAGATGGAAAGAACTTTATGTGCAATCCATTTTCTTTTCCTTGAGTATTTATGTTTTTACGTTCTTATACAAATTTGTTATACAATCAACTTCTTTCAATATATTGCAATTCTTTGAGAACATAGATGCGATGGCCTAGTATAACATTATTTTAAATGCTAAAATGACATACAGCCAACATTTTCAGGTTTTTTAGAAGTCCTGGCTCCTAGTACTGTGTTAAGTGCATTATTGCAGTCAAACTCTGTCCATAGCCTGGAGTTTGAACCTGACAGGACTAAACTCAAATTCTGGTATACATAGTTTTTGAAAATATTTGTAAAAGTGGAACTCGGAAGCAAATGATGAAAGTGTTGCACAATACCTATATATAATTCTGGCCCATGTTCATAAACTTGGGTTTCAAGACAAGTTGGGAATCATAGGGTTCTTTTTTTTTTAATCTCATGACTTTTAATGTTTTATCAATGTATAAAACACAACGAAAAATAAAAAAGGAAATTAAGGGAAGAAAAAAGAGACGGGGAAAGAAAATATGAGGTTCAAGGGAAGAAAAAAGCACTGACTTCCAACTCTTTTTAGCACAGTACAAGATAACATTACCTTTTTTAACTTTAAGTAACCATTACCAATAACAAATGTAATTGGCAAAATGAAATCAAAGGTTTTTTTCACCACGAGCACAAAATCCAGAAGTGATATCCAAATAAAAACATAATTAAATATATGATTCTCCTTGAATAAAACAATCAATTTGACTATTTCTGCTTTATCTTCCTGGTGGTAGAAATAATATGTATTTCTATTTGCACTTAATCTTTATAAACTATCATCATTTATATTAATGAAATTCACTGTATCCTTTCAGATTCTTTTTACCTTAAAGGGAAAAATATTTTTTTCCCCATCCATTTT